TTAGACGTCCACGCTGGTTCTCCTCCTCTTCTTGGCTTGTACGCGAGGGAGTGATGTCCTCATCAATCTTCATATCACTGGTTCATTTTTGAAATCATAAACATTGTATTGGTACATGTACGAAACAAAAACAACTTTGTAAAGCTAAGACAATGCTTAATAGAGCCTTAGGTACTACTACTTGCTTTGCATTAAGCCGTAGTACTGTTTTTGAAAGCGAACTACGGAGGGGAGAGATTCCCGCCTAGATAGTACTTGATCTGGTTAATTTTGGAAAACCGGACTAAAACCCACGTAGTACATTGTAACTACGAAATTGAAGATACCTTTCTATATTTTTTAGGAAGGAAATACATTGTTATTCTATTCAAATTTGATGGCCTTATATACCTTTTCAGGTTTGAGAACTAGTACATGTGTGGTATACTTAAACTGAGCATCATTTTCCGGTTTAGAACCCCAACCACACACACACACCTTAAGCATGTGTTTGGATTGGGGTTTGAAGTGGGTTAGAGCGGATCGAACCCAGTTTTCATGGTGTTTGATTGGGAGTGGGTCGGTGAAAGCTCTAGTTTGGTTTTGGTAAATTGATGAAACCCTAAGTGCTAACCTAATTTATCAAAGTGATTATAAAATAGGTGGCACATTTCAAGTGGTGAAGCAAATAAAGATCATGACATGATGATAATGGTGATGGCATGGTGATGATCATATGCTTGGACTTAGAAAAGAGGAAAGAAAAACAAAAAGCTCAAGACAAATGTGAAATTGATAGGAGCTTTTCGGTTTAGTGATCGAGACACTTAGAGAGTGTGATCACATTTAGGATCGATAACCATACTATTAAGAGGGGTGAAACTCGTATTGAAATGTGGTTATCAAAGTGCCACTAGATACTCTAACTTATTGCATATGCATTTAGGATCTAGTGGAGTGCCAACACCCTTGAAAATATTTTGTGAAAATATGCTAACACTTGCGGGTAGGTTCTTGCGATATCCAATTGTGTAGACGAAGTTCGTGCAACACCTCTTAGCCACCGAAACACCAAGTGTTGGTCGACACAACGGAGACGTAGCGTGTTGGCAAGCACGTGAACCTCGGGAGAAATTGGTTGTCTCTTGCCCTTTGGTATTCTCCTGGTGATTGATTTAGTATTCATCTTGTGATTGGTTCACTTCTCTATACGACGGTATAATCTCCCTACTCACTCATTTATATTCTCGCAAACTAGTTGTAGCAAGCTCTTTAGTGTAGCTAGAATTGAGAGCTTGCTTTGTATTTAAGTTCATCTAGTGGAGCTCTTTAGTGTAGCAAGTGTGAGAGCTCTTAGTGAGTAGTGATATAGCAAATTGTGTGTCTAGTGATCGTAGCAACTAGAATTGTTGGATAAGTAGCTTGCAACCCTTGTAGAGCTAGAGCAAGTTAGCATTTCGCTATTTATTATACTAATCAAATTGATCTAGTTGGTTTGTAGATTTTTTAAATAGGCTATTCACCCCCCTTTAGCTATATTAGGACCTTTCAGTCGGACCCAAAGGGAGAATATTCGCTGGAGATGCAGGTTGTTCCCATTGCATCGAAATGAGAGGACAGGGTCCGACCTAGTCCTCATCCACGCGTTCTCTCTCTCACACACAACGCATCCCCACCGGCCACCGCCGTTCCTCTCTCTCTCACCCGCAACTCCAGGCCCCGACTTCGCTAGCAGGTGATGACTCCAGGTGGCCCATGGGAGGAGACTCCGGCCACCCCTCGTCCCTCCTATGCTTCTCCTCCATCCGGATCTTCTCTTCCCTTGGTCCATTATCCCTCCAGTTCTTCCTTCCTCCGGCCTAGACGGAGGAGCAGCAGGCCTTGCCACCGGCGAGCCGTGGTCGAGCGGAGGTGTAGGAGTGGAGGAGCAGCGATGGCGCCCTCAGAGGCCCCTCCAAGATCCAGCGGTGGCGCAGGGCTCGTAGCTCCGACAACGTCTTAGGCACGTCCTCTGTGCGGGGGTGAGGTACCAGGGGTGCGCGAGGGCAAGGTATGGGGGGAGGAGGGGAAGCGCGACACGCCGTCGTTGGAGGGTGCGGCCTCGAGAGGTGGAGTCCGCGAGGTGAGCTAGAACAAGGAAGAATGATGGCCTTGAGAATGACTTGTCGGCCCCATGTGTCAGCTATCCAACCCATCCCAACCTAGGACTTCAGCCAAACAAGAAAACATGGGATGAACCCAACCCTCTAACCAAACAAAAATTAGGTCCAACCCGTCCCAAAAACAGGGTTGAGTCTAATCCATCCTTCTGATCCTAAAACTGTAGGATCTCTGGTTGGCCTAGAGAGGGAGGAATAGGTCTGTCAAAATAAACACTCAAACTTTTATCAATTTCACCCTACGGCACTGCCGCTCTGACGGGCGGCACTGTCGGGCCAGAACAGCGGCACTGTCGCACCTACAGACAACTTCGAGTCACAATTCAAATTCGGTGAACGAAAACTTAGTTTGGAGAAATTTCTTAGCTTACTGCAGGTATGATAGTCATAGATCGAGAGTTAGAAGTAGTAGGAACACCACACATAAATAGATCGATTAGAAACCCTAGAAATCACCTCAACAACAATATAACATGCAAGTAATGTAAATCAAGCATAAGAGATATAATAATTTATCCCGTGGTTCGGCTCGCCACCAAGGCTTGCCTACGTCTACGTTGTTGAGGTTAGCCACTAAGGCTTAGGGCATTCCAACCCTTCCTCGTTCTCAAGTCAAGAGACTTAACTCTTGAGATGAGGGGTGAGTTTACTAGCTTCAAGAGATGGTTACAAACCTCCTAGGGCTACAACATAAGTTGGCAAGCTCCACGGACGACGCTCTAGCCGGATAGGAGCCAAGCTCCAAGAGTAACAAACACAACTACCGGTCAAAACGTGAACCAAATGCTCTTTTGAGTTGAGGAATCAATGAAGTTGCTCTCTAATTGAGTTTTGGATCATTTTCTCTTAAGGATTGATGGAGAAATCAATGGATTTGCTTGAGGGCTCAAGGTCAACAATAAAGGGAGAGAGAGAGGCTCCTTTCTGTTTTGGACGAGCTAGAGTGAGGAAGAAGAGGCAGAGAACCGTTGAGGAGAAAGGGGAAGGGTATAAATACCCGCAGCCCTCAATGGTCACTTAAGTCACGACAGTGCCTCTCTTCAAGTGCGGCAGTGTCGCACCACGCAAGACAGAAAGGGTAAGAGTAAAGTGTAGACTGTCTTGGCTGTGAATCTGAGGATGCATGTGTATGTTTGAGTATTTGGTAGCATATATTAGCTTAAGCATTGTGCCCCCCTTTGTAGTATGACTTTTCCTATATTCAAATTCAAAATATAAAAGAATTTAAACCTTCTTTGAGTTTGAAGCCATCTACATTTGTAATTGGGGGCTCCTCCGTTTTGTGTATCATCTTCGAACATGAATTTCCTGCTTGTCATCTCGATAAATCCCATTAGTTCTCTAATTGCGTGGTCATTATCTCCAAAACCCACAATTAAGGCTTGATTGCACTTTCAAGAACCAAACACACGTGGAGCTTGTGCCTTTGGCAGTTGACGCTATACCACCTCAGCAGAGCGAATCTTTTCCTGCACATACGTGCCCTCATGGTTAGCTCCATCTTTCCTTTATGGCTGGGGTGATGCCATATGGACATTCTAAATTCCTTGGCCCTGTTCGTTTAAACTTATCCGCCAGAATCAACTTTATTTTTTTAGCCATGGAATAATGTTTTTCTCTCATAATAAATCAGCCCTACAAATCAGCCACAGTAGCAATAAGTCCTGCCGAACAGGACCCTTATGTTCACCAGATCTGACCCAATTTGATCCACAAGCGCTTCAGTTTTTTTTTATTTCTTATTAATGATGATGAGTACCTAATTCTCGGAAAAAATAGAGAGGGATGAGTATCTTTAACAATATTTTGGCCTGTTCAGCTTGCTGAATCTTGGCTGAAACTGACTGAAAAATACTGTTATGACTGAATCGTTGTGAGAGAAAAACACTATTCTTGTTGAAAAAAACAAGCTAAATAGTGTCATTTTTGAGGTAGGCCGAACGGGCCTTTCTTGAGGACGGTTGGGTGAACATGGCTTCAGGCTGCAGGTTTTGTGGTGAGAAAAAGGCGACATGAACCTATCAGACATCTACATCCACACAGCTCTTTTCTTTTCGGGGGGTCTGATAAGCTGAGTCGATCAGGCGTATGCGTATCTTCGACGAATCACCAAACTGTCGAAACGGAGGATTCCAAGTCTAGTAGGATGCTGACCGGAGAATCAAGAGGGATCATTCCCAGATTTTTGCAATGGTTCACACCGGCCATCCGAATTCCCCATGACACATCCTGAATCTCAAAGTTCAGCAGCAAGCAGCAAGTGTCATGCACTGACACTGTTCTTCGTTGTGTGAAAGCACGAAACCTCAATCATTAATCAACGAGGAAAAGATTGGAGAGGCGATGGAATGGGGGCAGCAACCAAACCGGTCCAAAATTTCCATTTTTTTCTCTTCTTTTCTTTCCGGTGAGAATCTCCTTTTTCTTGCCAATTACCAGCGCGGCGACCACTTCCGGAGCGAGAGAGCCCACGACTGCACCACCACCACCACGGTCCACGGCGGCGGATGACGGCATACTCATACTGGTATGCCTACATGGCTACGTCTCTCTCCTCCCACTTCGACCCGCCCGGCCCTATCAAAAGCCCCCCTTCGGCCCTTCCACACCGCACTCCCTCACCTTCCACCTTCCCCTCCCCTGCCCCCACCGCCTGCTTCCTTCCGCCTTGCCCCGTTGCTTCCTCCCACCACAGTCCACTCCACTCGCCGGCCCTGCAGCTCTGCTCAGTATTTGACTGATTGGTGGTGGAGCTGCTAGCAGCTCGCCTGCTACTTCTTGGACCTGAAGGCGCGTTCAGACCAGTGCCGACTACGAGCTGTGAGGAGAGGGCAAGGAACCACGCCTGCCAGGGAGGTGGCGATGGAGAGGTACGAGGTGATCAAGGACATAGGATCGGGCAACTTCGGGGTTGCCAAGCTGGTCCGGGACGTCAGGACCAAGGAGCTCTTCGCCGTCAAGTTCATCGAGCGGGGGATGAAGGTGCGTCCGGCCTTCGAATCGATTTCCCCCCTTCCCTACCTTAATCAATAATCGAGCTCCCCTCGCGTGAAAAAGGTTCGATCTTGGAGTGCGTTTGATCGGTTAATGCGAATTCTGGCAGGTGGGTTTTTATCGGATTGTTGGTTTTGGTCCTCCCTGGTCCTAGGTTTGCCTTGTTCTTCTTGTGCATAAAAGGAACCCCATTATTGGGGTTGGTACTAGTTGGTACTGTTTACACCTTAGGAGTTCGCTGATTTGGTTAGTTGATTCTGCGTACCAGCTATCTATCTGCTTTACTCGTTATTGATATAGCTTGATGCCTTGATCAAGAGATGGCATGAACCGCTGCGCTAGTATTCCACCAGGCACCGACCGATCTACTCTGTTTTTCCGTCTGAAGTTCTCCTCTGAATGACTGAACTTTTGCTAGTAGTGGATGCACAGCTCTTTGTTTGCTTGGCCCTAAGTCATACTTGGTTGATCAATGCAGGTGTCACTTTGCTTCTAGTATCTGTTTACAGAAAAGAGCTGAGTTTTGCACGTGGCCACCTGGGTACTGGTTAATCTACTAATCTAGCAATGCTGGATTTAGATGCTTATGCATTCTTGTAAATTGATTTCTTAAAACTTGTTTTGTTTCTCGGGGATTTAGCTTCAGTTGGGGAAATTCATTTTTAAAAATAGTGAAGAATCACTTCCAAATTATGTGCCCATATTTCAGATAAACCCCAACCTGAGTGAATGTTCTGTACAATTTATTCTCTTTGTCACGTTTATTGGGTAATACGAAAAATATCAGGTATTGTTAGTTCTATTCGTTAGATATGGATCCTTATTTTCTTGTTCTGGGGAGCTGGTCAAGTTGGACCAGTCCAGAGATAGCAAGAACCTGCCATAGTAGGTAACCATGCTTTACTATAACAATAAATAATTCAAATAATCATATCTGTTACTGTTAGCATCGAATATTATTTGTTCATGAATGCTATCGTTTAAGATTACCGACAGCACAAGCCTTACTCCTGGTTTAGTTGATTTCCCCACCTCAATTTTGCTTCATTAACTTCAGCTTCCCATGGGTGCTTCTTGCATCAGTTTGATTCACCATCCTTGTTGTCTGGACATCTGCAGTTAATGGTATTGTTATTGTAGTAGTGCAAAAGGGAATGATGAGTTGGATTTTAAGTATCTGGGTTATATTAGTTGTAGAGCTGCGCTTCATTATATTAAGAAGAAAATACGGGAAAAGAACCCAAACACCCACATACCCACGCCAAACTAAGGTTTTAGATTACATTCTTGCCTGCTAAACATAAAAAGACAACCACAAAACCAAACAACTAGGCCACTCTAAGGCAAAGGTGCCGGGGTAGTCAAGGAAGAGAGGCTTCGTGCGCCTGCTATCTCCCAAAGACACTGTTCCTCGCTGGTAACATTAAGAGCCCTTGCAATGCTAGGAGCAGCTCCGTCAAAAACACAAGAATTGCGGTGAGTCCAAAGAACCCAAGCACCTAGTACAACTATTAGAATTGAGACCTTTCTTTTGCTGTTTGGGAGCAGCATGCCACAATATGTCCCACCAATCATCGAACACCACATCTGTTGCCTGAGGAGCAAATTGCTGCAGCCCAACCTGACATAGGAGGGAATACCAGTATTGCCTTGCAAAGGAACAGGATACTAGAACATGATTAATTGTCTCTTGCTCCTGATCACACAAAGTTTTCCCATCTGTTTTCTTAGAGTTGAACACGTGTTTTTTACAACATCTGGAATGATGCATGAGTACCTTTATTTATCTTTTAATTGTTATAACCTTTCTTTCTGCTTTCATAGATTGATGAGAATGTCCAAAGAGAGATCATGAACCACAGGTCGCTGAGGCATCCAAACATAGTTAAATTTAAGGAGGTAAGTCCCATTTTGCCTCTGTGACAGCAATACAAACTTAGATTCAACAGTGCTTTACAGTCTGGGAAATTTGAAATGTTGCATTTCTAAATTGATAATGCCTTCTGTTTCATATGACACTGAGTGTTATGAAAATATCTCATAAGAGCTGCTGGTGAATTTTATAATTATTACATATGGGAAAACCTCTACCTTGTGCATTTTATTACACATTCTTTGAAATTTCTGAAACTTCTGAATTAAAACTGAAATGCATAAGAGAACATTCAGTTTTCGAGTGACTAGATAAAGATAAAGTATGCCGTTGTGCTCAGCCTCCTAATTTCCTGTTCTTATGTTCACTGTAGTTGGTGTAAATGCTATGTGTGATACTTATTGGTAGAATAATTCCTTTAGATCTGTGTTCCTAGAGTCATTGTCTGTTTTTCTATCTGCGTAGGACTAGTTGGCAACTTGTTTCAATGGCTGTTGTATACTTGGATGCCTATCAGCATTCAGCAGCTATGGATAGACTGCACTAGTGCCTTGCCCTTTAAGACGGGGAACTACTTATGGTATTCAGGCATGAGAGTTTTTTGCCAACACCTCATAATTGTTGATTGGCTATCATGTAATCACTCAAAGTGACAGCTCCTTAGCAGCCTGCTTTATACTCCTGTTTTGCTGTTATGTATTTTTGTTTGCATGGAATACCTGGCACTATTGTTTGTGCTACCTGATTTACTGTCCGAAAAAGAGGTATCAACTAGGTAGAGTGAAGGAGAATTATCACTAGATGGCAGCAACAACAGCAACAACATAGCCTTTCAGTCCCAAGCAAGTTGGGGTAGGCTAGAGTTGAAACCCACCAAGAGCCCCAAGTCACGGTTCAGGCACTTCAATAGCTGCTTTCCAAGCATTCCTATTCAAACATAGATCTCTAGGTATATCTCAAACTTTCAAATCTTGGTCTTCCTCTACCTCTCCTCATATTTTGGTCTTCCTCTACCTCTTTTTATTGCCTCCCCCATGTCAATTTTGGTCTTCCTCTACCTCTCCTCATATTATTAGCTTGGCTTAGGACTCCACAATGCACTGGTGCCTCTGGAGGTCTCCTTTGGACATGGCCAAACCACCTCAACCAATGTTGGACAAGCTTTTCTTCAATTGGCGCTACCCCTAGGCGATCACGTATATCATCGTTCCGAACTCGGTCCATTCTTGTGTGACCACAAATCCATCGCAACATATGCATTTCTGCAACACTCAGTTGTTGAACATGTCGAATCTTTATAGGTCAACATTCTGCTCCATAAAACATAGCCGGTCTAATTGCCGTTCTATAAAACTTGCCTTTTAGCTTTTGTGGTACCCTTTTGTCACAGAGAATGCCAGAAGCTTGTCGCCACTTGATCCACCCTACTTTGATTCTATGGCTAACGTTCGCATCAATATCTCTATCCCTCTGTAGCATCGATCCCAGATACCGAAAGATATCCTTTTTAGGCACTACTTGACCTTCCAAACTCACATCTCCCTCCTCCTGTGCAGCTCCGCCAAAGTCGTATCTTATGTATTCGGTTTTAGTTCTGCTCAATCTAAAACCTTTAGACTCAAGGGTCTGCCGTCATAACTCTAGTTTCCTATTTACTCCCGCCTGGCTTTCGTCCACTAACACTACATCATCAGCGAACAACGTGCACCAAAGGATATCCCCTTGTATGTTCCTGGTAACCTCATCCATTACCAAGGCAAAGAGATACGAGCTTAAGGCTGACCCTTGATGAAGTTCAATTTTAATCGGGAAGTAACCTGTGTTACCATCGTTTGTTCGAACACTAGTCACAACATTGTTGTACATGTCCTTGATGAGGGTCGCATCAGTCCCATAGTCTGAACTTTTTTTAACCTATTAGTGTTTTTCACTTTTTCTTCAGGATTTCATAGCAGCATTCCTTTAAGCAATGTTCCTTGCAACTAGGTTGTTTGGAATGAAATTGGCTGCAGCAAGTAGAGTCAATTATGATTCCAGCATTAACTTGCATTCCTCTCAACTAATTTGGCTGCAGTACCAGAGAAATACTTAGTGTACTGGTCATTTCACAACAGTAAATTTTGTGGATTTAATTGGAGACCTCTCTATAATGCTGCCAAGTGCCAACATCGTTCTCTCATGAATCTTACATACTATGGAAAACAGTAGGAGAGGGCCCAACTGTGATTATTACATTTTTGTCTCAAAGTTTGAATTTATTACCTTTTCCAACAAATTTAAAGAGAGACTTAGTTTTTCAGGTTGTGCTAACTCCCACACATTTGGCCATAGTTATGGAATATGCTGCTGGTGGTGAGCTATTTGAAAGGATCTGCAAAGCTGGAAGATTTAGTGAGGATGAGGTAGATCATCTTTGCTACATGTGAATCTTTCATATTACCGAAGATATGTACTTCTAATGACATTTATTTGTTCTCCTCTGTAGGCAAGATTCTTCTTCCAACAACTGATTTCAGGAGTTAGCTATTGTCATTCAATGGTATATAATTATCTCCAACTAACATGTGATTAGTAACTTAAAGCAGAACATCTGTGACCTATGCTATTTTTGTTTCCTTGCTGCAGCAAATATGTCATAGAGATTTGAAACTAGAAAACACTCTCCTGGATGGCAGTATAGCACCTCGGCTAAAGATATGTGATTTTGGTTACTCCAAGGTATTGCAGATTATAAACTTTAAGTAAGCAGCTTGCCGATAAATGAACACTATAAATCATACTCAGATTTTTTTTTCAGTCCTCTGTGTTGCACTCTCAACCAAAATCAACTGTCGGGACACCAGCTTACATTGCTCCAGAGGTCCTTGCTAGAAAGGAGTATGATGGAAAGGTGATTCCTGTCTTTGCTAGTTCTTGTTTCCTATGGTCTTATTTCCAGTGGAGTGGCGCACAAACTTGCTGTATCTTCCGAATAAGAGAAATATCCTAATTAATAAAACTGAGCCCTCAAACATCACCATGTGCAATTTAGGTCGCCGATGTTTGGTCATGTGGAGTTACTCTGTATGTGATGCTTGTTGGTGCTTATCCCTTTGAGGACCCCGACGAACCGAAGAATTTCCGCAAGACGCTTACTGTGAGTGGATCCAAGCTTCACCAAACAATCACTTCTGCGTATACTATTTTACTCTGTTCAGCTCAGCTCATGTATCTAATTTTCTCGCAGCGGATTCTCAGCGTCCAATACGCGATTCCTGATTTTGTCCGAGTTTCAATGGAGTGCAGACATCTGCTGTCTCGGATCTTTGTGGCGAACCCTGAGCAAGTAATTCTATTGAAACATTTTCTACAACGAAAATCATAAGACTGCTGCATTCTTATCATCCATTTCATGCAGCGGATAACCATCCCAGAGATCAAGAACCACCCGTGGTTCTTGAAGAACCTGCCCATCGAGATGACTGACGAGTACCAGATGAACCTACAGCTGGTCGACATGAATGTCCTCTCGCAAAGTCTGGAGGAGATCATGGCCATCATACAGGAGGCCCGGAAGCCCGGCGACGGGCTGAAACATGCGGGACAGCTCCCTGGCCTGGGGAGCATGGAGCTGGATGACATTGATGTCGATGACATTGATGTCGACGACATAGACGTTGAGGACAGCGGCGACTTTGTATGTGCCTTGTGACGTGGTTCAGGCTGTCCGGGTGCCGTTGCTGCCGTGGACGCCCCCCCGAGCTCCCATTTTGTTGTTGTAATATCACATCTTCTGTGTAATCAAGGTAGTGACGCTGTGGATAAATAATAGACGTTATGTGCTGCATTCTTGCTGAGTTGTTGTTCAGCTCCTCTGTTTGCCCTGTATGAACTGGCAGTTTCATGAGTGCCACAATGTGTATGTTGATGGCTCTGTCTTCCTTTGCCTCAGCCTGATCTTTTGATCTGCTGCATGTAGCCAATGTGTGTGTGTGTGTTTTATTATTTTACTAGAAGCCATCTTATGAGTTACCGAGTGCTACTTGTTACTACTCTATCAGATCATATTTTTTGGTTTTACTAAATCAATGAACGGCTAGCATTAATATACGGAAGTAAACCCTGATTTTATAAAGCAAAACATGTCTTACAACGACTAGCATTTTCGATGGCACAAAACAAGAAAATTCTCTAATGGGCCAAGAAACTGGGCGAACTGGGTGGTACAGCTCGCTCGCATTCAGGTCGGGGCCCATTTCTATTTCGGCCTGCTAATGCAACCCAACTGCCAAATCGCGCAGGCAGCGACGAACGGTAAAGATCGATCCTCGCAACCGTGCCGTGCGGCGCCCGCTCCTCCTAGCATCCGCCCACCCTATATAACCTCTACTCGTCTCCCTCCTCTGTCCTCTCGTCCAAAACCCTAGCCCTCGCGCCGCCGCCGCTCCCCAGCGCTCGAGCTCCTCGCTCCAGCGAGCTCGCGCCGCAAAGCCACCATGAAGGTAAGCTACTACTACTCGCGGTACCCGCGCTAGGTGGTGTGTGTGTGTTGGGGGGGCGCAGGGTGGCGCGGGAGGGAATCCAGCGTCTGATTTGTGCGCTCTTTGTGTTGATTCCAGTTCAACATCGCGAACCCGACCACCGGGTGCCAGAAGAAGCTGGAAATCGATGACGACCAGAAACTGTGAGTGTTTCACGTCCTCCATTTGCTCTTTATTTTTTTTCGTTTCTCTTAGATCCGTGGGAGTGGTGTTCTGCTTCGAGCCCAGTTGTAGCTGTTGGTGATGCGATTGAGTATTTGAGTGCTAGTACTTATGCATCGATTTGTTCTATGTAGTTTTACCAACTATCCCTTGTCTCCGTTATCAGTCTTACTGCTTAGATTCATTTAGTTAGGTTGCTTCCTGTTGCCGGGCTGGAGCATCTGTATTCATATATATTAGCCTTATTATCCGGTTATAATGTAATAATGGCTTGTATGCAATAGTACTTCAGAAAAATATAGGACATGTCTAGCATAGTTTTCTGAGGTATTGAATGAATGTTTAGAAATGCGCTATTCCAATTTTGATGGTGCTTGAATGGATCATTACTGGTGAATTTTCGTGACCCATGATTAAAATTAGGACAGTAACATTTTGATTTGCGGTTGAGGTTTTTTAAATCTAGTTAAAATGCATCGTTTGTTGAATTTTGGAGCAGGTAATAATCCTTTGTTTGCTGTTTTTAGATTGTGCTGAGAATTGAGATTTCATATGGGGGTAGAGAGTATCTGGGGCTAGTAGTTTTAATTATTGAAATTATAATAACTAGATTCAAAATGGTTGCAGATCATTCTGTTATATTTTATTATTTTGAAAGTGCAACTTGTTTACTATCTACCTTTTGAATTACTGAAGAACTGTCTTGTATAAGTTATAATGTATTCCTGCGTCCCGAAAAGAATGCAAGTCTAGCATACTACCGTGTTAAACCATTTTGAATTTGACCAAGTTTATACAAAAACGTATCAGTATTTATGATACCAAATAAATGTCATAAGATTTGACATGAGATATATTTTCATAGTATACCTATTTTGTGATACATATATTGGTACTCTTTTCTATAAATTTCTTTGCATTTTGGAAAGTTTGACTAGAGATAGAGCTAGAATTGCATCCTTTTCTGGACAGAGGTAGTCTATCAAATAAACAGGCGCTATTTCTTCCTGCTCTACTTTGCTTTGTTATCTGATAAGCCTTTCTATCAACTACAGGCGTGCCTTTTATGACCGAAGGATCTCCCAGGAGGTCAGTGGTGATGCTCTGGGCGAGGTAAATTTTCTGATGATTTATTTCTTGATCCATGACCCTTTTGCTGATTCCATACTTAAATATAGGTGTGATATGTTTCTTTGTTTTGCAGGAGTTCAAGGGTTATGTCTTCAAGATCATGGGTGGGTGTGACAAGCAAGGCTTCCCAATGAAGCAAGGAGTTCTGACTTCTGGTCGTGTCCGCCTTCTGCTCCACAGGGGTATAGAGACTTCCTATCTCCGTTGTACACTCAACAACCCCTCTTTTACTGTGGTTCTTATCCGGACATTCGATATGAATTCTGTAGGCACTCCCTGCTTCCGTGGTTATGGCAGGCGTAATGGTGAGCGTAGGAGGAAGTCTGTCCGTGGTTGTATTGTGAGCCAAGACCTATCTGTTATCAACTTGGTGATTGTTAAGAAGGGTGAGAACGACCTGCCTGGTTTGACTGACACTGAGAAGCCAAGGATGAGGGGTCCCAAGAGAGCCTCCAAGATCAGGAAGCTGTTCAACCTGTCCAAGGATGATGATGTACGCAAGTATGTGAACACATATCGCAGGACATTCACTACCAAGAGCGGTGAGCTTTCTTACTTCTAACTGTAGTTCAATCTCTCAATGTCTTGAAAGTAGACCTAACTCTGGTTAAGTTTGTGTCCCAACTGCTTGCACGCTTTTTCTTGGTTATTTACCCTTCTACTTAGTACTCTGCTTGTTATGAGTTTAAATAATGTTTATTATTGTATCCACTGCTTTCTGAAGTTTTCCAACCACAGCAAGCTAACCTGTGTGCTTCCTTTGCAGGCAAGAAGGTGAGCAAGGCACCTAAGATCCAGCGGCTTGTGACCCCCTTGACCCTCCAGAGGAAGCGCGCTAGAATCGCTGACAAGAAGAAGAGGATCGCTAAGAAGAAGTCTGAGGCTGCTGAGTACCAGAAGCTTCTTGCCCAGAGGCTGAAGGAACAGAGGGACCGCCGGAGCGAGAGCTTGGCCAAGAGGAGGTCCAAGCTTTCTGCCGCCGCCAAGGCTTCCGCTGCCACCTCCGCTTAAGAATGTTCAATATCTTGGTACAGCTTAAGTACCTATGCTGCCCTGGCTGTGTTGCATCAGTCGCGACCCTCTCTACTTAGATTTATGAGTAATTGTTGCAATTTTGTATGAACATGGTACTGGCTTGTCGGAATTTTTTTGAGTACCAGAGGTTTACTATGTTGTTTTATGCTGTGAACGTCAGCTAGCCTTGTTCTTTGGTCTGCACCATATGTTAACATCTGGGATTTTCCTGCTTGGTTCTATTTGGCATTAGCCTTGTACTCCGTTGCTGCTTGGTTCTGTATGGCCTTGAACTGCGTTGCTGCTTGGTGTTGATTAATGTCCTTGATGCGTTTAATATAATACTAGTCTAGTTGGAAGTGTTGCTTGTCTCTGGTACTGATCAGCGACCTTCTAGTCGTTGGCTCTCTAATTTGAGACAGACTAATAATTCTCCCCAACTTGTAGCATATAATCAGCTGTTTGTACCGATGTTGGTTTGGAAATCGGAATGCAATTTAAGAATGAAATGTCTGATCGCATTTGATCTCACCAGGGGGTCGCTCTTCAGTTCTGAGGTCAGGGCCTTGCAAGTCCCCGTTCCATGTACCACCAGGGTTGATCATGATTGTGCATATAAAATTCCAGTTGTTGGTACGACCATTGTTAATCACAAGAAAGTCATGCTGCTTATTAGTTTTGGAGATGGAAAAGTTACTGTACTTGGCTTATTAGTTTTGGAGAATGGGAAAGTTACTGTGCTCGGTCATAGTTCCTACCTTCCTGGCATGGCAAGATGCTGTAAAATGGAAGTTACCGTCGCCTGGTCTCTCATCTCGTTTAATCCGGACCTTCGCTGAGAAGTTGGCCTCAGCGGTTACGCTGAAAATATGGTACGCACTCTAATAAGTTTCAGATTGGCCTAGAGTAGTGCTAGTGTGCTAGTGTTTCTGGGCATTCATTCTTTTGGCGGAATACTCGAATAAGTTTGGTTGTTTCTGCCGTGCTGCACTGCTGCCTAATGCAACCTTCATGACCTTCGTTAACCCATCTACTGCCTTCAGTGTTTTCACATACAAATACAATACAGCTTCATAGTAGGGAACCTGTAATACTACCTCCAGTCAATTATATGACGTTTCAGACAGCAAAATTAAACTACACGCAATCCAAGTCTAATTAGATGTCTGAAACGTCATGTATATTTGAATGGAGTGAGTACCAGATTTCATTGCTTACAGGAAATTTCATAGCTCCTTAATTTGAAATTGAAATTGAAATTGAATTGAATCATGTAAACAAACAAGATACATACTCCAATAGACATGTCTCGTAGCGCCAATTAGTCTCAACTAATTGCTGATCTGAGGTCATGGGTTGGTGTGCGCAATACTTTTTTAAGGGACCTAACTAAAAACTGATTCAATATATCGGTTGAAGTTAATATCTTACATGTTGATCTAATACACATCCTAAACAACCAATGTGGGGCTAATCCTTCCTTTCAAAAAAAAATGTGGGACTACTCCCCCATACGAGCCTAATTTAAACTGAATTAGATGTCACAAAACCTCTAACTCCATTTGAGCCCTTTGGAACTGAAGGCTTTGCTCCATCGAACTTACACTGGCTAGTTTAGCACACTGGAGTTGCACCTTTTTTAAGAAAAGGAATGGTTTTTCACCGTCAGTTTGCTGCATGTATGGTCAGTCCGTCACTGGTCTTGACTCGGGAGATGAAGAACGCTTATTGGCGTTTGGTGGTACCACGTTACCACCCGTGTTAATCACTGCAGTGCAAAGCCGTCCTGCTTAGCTTTGGAGACGAGAAAGTGCCTGTAATGTAAGATGGAAGTAGATGTCGAGTTCTGCATGGAAGTTGTTGCCTGCTCGCTCGTTTTCTACAGTCCGGAACTTTGCTGAGAAATACAGTGCTCCCTCCGTTCCAAATTATGATATGTAATAAAAAACAATACATTTAAGGTCTGTTTGGGTCCCTTCGTTCTGGAGGAATTAAAATCTACATAATGAATTAGGTTATTTGGTTTGGAATTTGACATTTCATAACATTCCCAAGCTCACAAATAAGCCTATCTCAAATTTATAGGGTGGGAGATAGAAATGGATTATATAGATCACTATGCTATAATTTTATTATCTAACTTATAGCAGACTCTTTAACTCACTTCCTACAATAGAAATGCAATATACAAGTATGTCCCTTGTATGTCTAACAATAAATATACAAATATATTCTATATACAACTATATTAGCTTAATTAATCTATGCTTAAATTGTAATTATTAGAATAGATTCAATTTTAAGAATCCAAACGGGCCCTTAGAAAAATCAAAACGTCTTATAATTTGAAAGGAAGGAATAACTTAGGAAATCATATATAGTTACTAATTCTTGATTGCGTACCAAACGTAAGGCTTAGAAAATTCAAAATTGTATCATAAACAGTTAACCACGTTATGCCATTCAAATTCTATGTACTTTGGTGCAATGTCTCGTGTATAGAAAGAGATATTGGATCGGCCGTCGCATGATTGCAAACTGCCAGGGGCGCCACTACTTGATGTCTTGATCCACACAAGCTTGTAAGCACAGTGCACAGTGGTGCTTAGCAACTGCAACTGCAGGTCACAGTTACGAACAAAATAGAACATCACTCCATCTGGGAGAGGTGCATCTGAAGAGAACAAAATAGAACCATCAAGGGGATCAATTTATTGAGCACCAGCAAACATTGCATTCCGATTATCTCTTTATTCTCTCCTTACCAAGGTCAAAACACCAGAAGCAGCTTAAGTCGGCAAGTCACGCACCCAAAACAGGAAACGAAGGCATACAATTACAACACATAATGCTAGCTACTGTCTTCCACAACACAACAAGTACCTCCTATAGCTCCCCAGCATGTAACTTGTGCCAAGAGCACCCACCAGGCCACCACACCAAGCATCAACAAATAAATAGGCGCCGATCGCCTCTTTCGAGTCGCCGCAACTATTCCTACCCTCTCTGTTCGGCTCCGGCTATTCAGAAAGCCAGTGGAGGCAGTGGCAGGCTGTTGTTGAGCCCTGGCCGCATCCTCCTCTTCCTGAGCCTCTCTGCAATGATGAAGGCAAGCTCCAGGGACTGGGAGGCGTTCAGCCTTGGGTCACAGTGGGTGTGGTAGCGGTCGCTCAGGTCATCGAAGGTCACAGTCCGTGATCCACCAATGCACTCGGTCACGTTCTGCCCAGTCATTTCAAGGTGGATGCCTCCTGGGTGACTTCCTTCTTGGTCATGCACGTCGAAGAATGCACGCACTTCAGCCTGTTAGATATAATGGAGTTCGTGATTAGAGCAATGATATCAGTTGGAAGGCCAGGACGGAATGTTTCTAGATAAAGTGTAAATACTCCAGTGAAAATAATTTGATCAAATCCATTGTCAAACAATTCAATGATCAAATATATTACTCTTAGAGTGGCATTTTAACATCCATTCATGAAGCTGAAAAGACATCAGCAAATGGCTTATATCAGAACTTAAGCTGAAAACTCGTTAATAGCAGCACCTAAAATGCAGACCCAAAGTATGCTTAAAAATCAGGGTTTTTGCCTCGTTCCCTAAAAACGAGGCGGTTGATGATAAATCAATACTATCCAAGCAGGGAATCTCTCCCCTCCGTAGTTTGCTTTAAAAAAAATCTTAAAAATGAATTTGAACAAGATTTAGCCCCAGGCCCCAGCCCAGCCAAGTACTTTATTGACCTGTTGAGGATAAGTAGCCCAGTGATCCTACTTCTATTAAATCATAAGCAGATACAATATTCCAGAAGTATGACGTACGCCCTAAAGTCCTGCAATCTTACAGACTAGTAGAAACGCAGAGCAAAAGAATGGATAGGAACTTTAGATATCATTCCATATTCCCGATACAGACATATGAACGCTCAAACAAAACTGAGACTCATTCAAACTTATCATAACAGAAATGCATACTAGCGAAGAATGAAAAAAATCACTGTGGAAGGTGACTCACCAGAATGGAGTCGAAAGGACGAGTCTTCAAGCCACAAGGGGCCTTTATGGTGTTTCCATGCATAGGATCAGTAATCCATGTGACAATCAATCCAGCATTGCGGACAGCACGGATGAGATGAGGCAACTTCACTCTCATGTTCTCTGCCCCCATCCTTGTAATTATGGTGATCCTTCCAGGTTTGTTTGAAGGGTTCAGAATCTCAATCAGCTTCACCAAGTCACCGGGATTCATTTTGTCACTCACCTACATTCCACAAATTACATGCCAATTTGACAGTCAGGATGACAGGACAAGCACAGTGCCTAGATTTCACTTAATCAATAGAAAAAAAGGATTTAAAGCCGACCTTTATGCCAAGAGGGTTGGCCACACCACGGAGGAATTCAACATGAGCTCCATCGAGTTGACGAGTGCGCTCACCAACCCACAACATGTGGGCTGAACAATCATAGAAAAGGCCACTGGTGGAGTCCTCACGGGTAAGAGCCTGCTCATAGGGTAAGAGAAGGCACTCGTGCGAGGTCCGGAAGTCAGTAGTCGTCATTATCGGGTGGTCAACGGTAAGTCCTGCTGCAGTCATGAACCCAAGAGCCTCATCCACCCTATGGGCCAATTCACGGTACCTATATGCCATCCAATGAACATACTCAAACCATCAGATTATGATATTCATTTGACCATTTGCAAACACAAATTTTTAATTCAACCAAAATTAGATAAACATTTCATGTAATCATGTACAACAGTATACGATTAGCTAAGCTATTCTTGTATCATAACATGTAAATCTCTGGCTACAAATTGTTGTTTTATATGTGCCCTTCTGATGGCGACCTATGGGAACTTTGGTGGGGCAACAACTTCCCAGGAAAAGCCAATTACTTGGTCCACAAATATTATAAAGTACATCAGTTAAACAATATAGACTACATCTCCGTGACTAAATCAAAACCTTGAAACGAAAGAAAAAATTGTATGCA